GCGCAGCGCTGTACAATAAAATGAATGAACTCTGCGACGAAATACTGTTGTTAGTATGCAGGCATGTAACTGCTCGGTTTATGTTGGATTATTAAAATAAAAATGACCATATCGTTACACATTCCTGACTCCACATAATCACCCTTTGTTTACCGGTAATTTGGTATCATTTTTATTTTTAGGGACAAAATGCCCTATGTATCTTCCCCCAAAGAATGGCGCTCTTGTTTGTTTGAATTATGGTGACGGTTCTGAGAGATTCTGTCAAGTTGCTTGCAAACAAGGAACCGATTTCGTGACCAACCCTTCCGTTTTGTACGTATGTCTCGATAATGAAGAGTGGCTTCCTTTGGCTTATCTTCCCAACACGAGTGGAAAACTACCGTGGCCAGATTGTGCGAGTAGGTTTCGGTACCAAATACACAGCCTTCAGAAAAAAGAATTCTATTGTAATTTTTTGCATTCAGGTTGATACGGGCAAGCCGCTGGGAAAAGACACGCACCTGTGTTTTGGTGTTCCACGTCTCGCGCGTTTCCAGTCTAACGCCCTCCTCGTGCTTTTCTCGCGCTTGTCTCCGCCAGCCGAACATGCAACTACCGGTTTTTCAAAGGAAATTGAATACGCGCAGATATTTCTAGAACTGACGGTCGAAATAAGGTTTAAGGGGAAATAGTTTTCAGTCATGGCTGAAAAATATTGTCGAAAAATTCTCACCAGGAAACTGGTTGAGATGTATACCGTGCGTGGAGACTTCTTACGGCTAAAATCCAGTGCTGAAAAGTATTGTTTAGCACAAGTCTCTAGAGAATGGGCAAATACAAAATTATTCCAATCTCAAAGCAAAGCGCATATCAAAAGGTCATATATATTGAACTGGATTCAAAAAAGTCGTTTCGTTGTTTGTGTTTCAGGGGGAGCTGGCCCTTCGACGATGAAGACATTTGGCGGTGGAATATCCGAGTTTTTTTATAATGCAAATCAAAAGCCTTCTGAAGTGGAAAGGGAGCTGAAAGACAACTTATTAAAGTTGGCTCGAAGCAGTTTAGTTTCCCCTTTTTATTGTGAGAATAAGAGCTATTGTAAGTCGGAAAATGTTCGCGTATACGTGTAAAATAAATCTCTGAGTTATAAAAGCGGCAGCATGGTCTGCTGTTTTCGACGAGAGAAATTTACTGTCATCTCAACAAATTAAATCATGTTGCATCTCAAGAGAATCCTGTTTTCGCATAATTGGCTTTCACTGTTACTATAAAAATAAAAATTGGAATAAAACTCTGATGTCCGAGATGTTATACGTGACAGGTCCATGACTACCCCTCACAAGATTCAAATCTGTTCAGTTTTCATTTACGAACTAACCAATAAAATGTTTCTGGAAATGTTTAGACCTGACCTAAGCCCCAACATCGCCAGGAAACAAATACAACCTAATAGAGCATGAGAAATCTTTTTTGTAAACAGCAAAGGGTGCGTGAGTTAGTGGAAGGGATTTGTAAAGGGGGGGAGGAGTGGTGCGAATAAGATTCCGCCGTTTTTTCCAAAATACATTCCTACACCGAAGAGTGACTTTAAAATTCTAATTTATTGTTTTTGATAGAGTTGCACAATTTTACCTAATCATAACAATTGATTGCTCATATCTGGCGGTTAACGTATTTCGTTTTGAATATTTTTGTGATATTCAAAAACATAACTTTAAAACCTGCCTATTAAACGTTAGCAAGGTTACATCAAATGATTATATGTCGATGACTTTACTGAGTTAACTGAAAGTGTGGATTAAGGAGTTCTGGCAGTGAATTATTGATCTAATCAAAAAAAAAATTGCTTACAGCTCTCTTTCATTCCACTTAATCAAAATTTGCTTCATCGTGAGGAATACAAGTCTCGAAAATCACAACGTTATATGGCAAAACTTTTTCGAAGATACACGAGATCTTTAACCATTCAAAGACCAAAGCTGACACTAAATGACTAAATGACTGTTTCGTAGCTCGACAAATTTAAGTCTGTGTGGTCTTTCATCAGATCAGCAGGGTATCGTTCAACTTACGCTAACAAGAGTACTTCTCAGCTCAGTCCAGAACAGTCACAGATATCAAGATTATCTCATGTCCAAACTCACAAAGGTTTTAAAATTGTCATCTTCGTTTAAAGGGTTCTTCTCTCGCACATTGCTACTCAGCTACAGTTGTCTCATCCGACATGTCTGTCACGGAGAGCTCTGGTTCGCGTAATTCGTTTCTCAGAGTCTTCTTTTGGCGCCATCTGCTCACGGTTCTGTACGTTACCACGCCAAGGACCAGCAAAGGAACATAGGCCAACACGTAGACAAATACTCTCAAACCGGCCCTGGTCTTATTCGACAGGCTAGCATCAATGGCAGAACTGAAAATGGCGATCAGCGACAGTGTTGTCAGTAGTGCCACGTCTGATTTGTTGATCCACTCGTAGCTTTCTTCGTCTTCCTTGACATCAGCAGCTTCCTTGTAGGGCCTCAAGAACGCAAAGATCAGGAGGATGAGGACACAGGCAGTTTCCAACATGGCTCTCTTAACAGCTCCTGAGGGCGCAAGAGTGCTGATCGCCAGTAGTATAAATCGGCATAGAAAGTAAAAGGCAGCACACCAACGGTACTGGTCCTTGAAGCAGCTCTGAAGGGCATCGAACATCGGCTTCCATCGATTTAGATTCACCACAAAAAGCAGTTTTCGAGTGAGGTAACTGCGAAACAAGAGGATCATCGGAAATGGAATTACCACGATCAGAATGTATAGGATTGCTAAAACACCAAAGGCAATATGTTTTCCTGAGAAGTACCCAATGTTGCCATTTGCGTACATCACGTAGGTGGACCCAAATTTTGCAAAATGTAGGATTCGCAGTGAGATTCTGGTGATGTCAGTGTAGCAGAGCACAAAAATGGTACAAAACGCTCGAAAAGGAGCGGCTCTGACACGTTTGCTGAACCACCAGTTGGGATGATTACGTACAGCCCTAGCTAACAGCACTACTAGAACCAAGACGAACGTTGGTAGCGCGTACATAATGGCCAATTTGTCTGCATCGTCTAGACCAGCGGCAAAGCAAATCCCACCAGACCGAGCAGAGCCTATTTTTAATTGGAAGTTTCCCAGGCCGATGAGAAACTCGATGAAAGGGTCGAACTGGAAGCCACTAGGGGTAATAACGTTCATGACTTGGTAGGAATACACCCATGCGTTCAAATATCCAGTGAAGAAATCGAGGTTGATCAACATGACACCCATGACGACAATCAACAGGATCACTCCGTACAAAATCAGCAGCAACAAATACCAGTTGGAACAAGTGTTAGAACAGTGTTCCCCTCCGAATAGCACGCCATAGTTCGCTTTACATTCGCCACAAAGCACGCTACTCTGATTTCTGTTCTCATTGCAAAGTTTCCCGGAATCATATTTCTGTTCGGTCGAAGGATGATCACTTATGTTACAGTATCCATTAGGACAGAAATGAGTTACAAATGCTCCATTAACTAGTCCTGCCCAGTATCCATATTTAAGATAAAATGTCTTCCCGTCCGACTCACAACTGGATACACCAGCATCGGTGGTATCCTTGCAAACGCAAGTATTCTCCTCTGCCATGAATCCTGGATTACACTGTTTAAGTGATAAGTCAGAGATCGTTTCAGTTAATAGTCCTCTCCCCATGTACCACAGTTTCACCGAAAACTTTTCTCCAGCTTTCCCAGCGAGTTTAACGTTGGAAACACTTCCATTAGCAATGAATAAGGGCGAAGACGCGTGCAAATAAACCGAGGATTGATCCTGAAGAGGAATTACTCTTACATTGATGCTACCAACGACGGAGTTACCAATCTCGTCGAGCAATGATAAAGAGGCATTAAAAACCTCACTCGGGGCCACCGACCAGTCCTCTCTGTCAAACTCTATTTTAACTGGTTCAGTGGTGACCTCCTTTGTTAGGAAGGTTTTCTGTCCATCGGCGCTTCTGAATTCCACAAATTTCCACTGCAAAACGGAGTTGTTTAGACGCGGTTCACCTGCTCGTCGACAGTTCTTTAGCGTGGTGGCGTAAACTGAATTCCCTGCAAACGCTGCTTTGTTGCCCTGGAAGACAACCCTCGTTTCCCAGTCATCGAAGTCGACAGAAGCATCCGAGTACCCGAAGAAACAAATGTGCGTATTTATACCAGTTGCATTGAAACCAACAAGTGGTGGTCCGGGGGCGAAGATGTACAAAGCCCCACCTCTGTCGTCGCACTTGTTACCGTCAAAGAGTAAGTAAGAATTTTTGTTAAAAACAATCCTCGAACGTCCGTACATAGCTATTGCACCGCCTCTAAATCCTGTGTTGTTGATGAAGTGTACGTTCCCGAATATTTCCATAGTGGAACCATCAAGGGCCATGGCCGAGTTGGTGTTGTTAAAGAATGTCACATTTCCTTGGAATATCAGAGGCACTTGTACACTGTAAAGTGCACCTTCTCCAATGGTCACCAGTTGTTCTATACGCATCACTCGATTACCCTGAAACGATGAGAAATTCAAGGTTACATGGTAAGGAATTTCAGGTCCGATTTGATCTTCGTTCTGATTGGAGAGAAAAGAAGCCATGGCAGCTCCAACTGTTCCAGTGTTCTCACTCCAGTGACACTCGTTGAAGTAGAACTGGGTTAAGTCATGCGCGGTTGTGTCAGGAATGGTCGTTCCAAAGATCGATGCCCCTCCTCCCCATACAGCCTCGTTTCTCACGAACGAGCAGTTGATTACAGAAAATGTATTGAGACCGCGTCCGCTTCCCTTGATAAAGTTTCCGATTCGAATACCTCCACCGGCCATACGTCCTTCATTGCTGTCAAAAATGGTGTTTGCCATTGTGAATAAATTCCTTCTGCTCTCTTCTTTCATTTCGAGCATGAGACCTCCTCCCCAGTCCGCACGATTTCTGATGAAAGCACACGATTCTACGTCAACTAGGCATCCACTAGCATTCGATCGAAAGTAAATTGCCAAACCGCCTCCTCGACTGAACGGAAGCTCTGGTGTGTCAACAAAGTCATTTTGTTTACTTTTATTACGCCACAAGGCTTCGTTTCCGAGAAAACGGCAATTTTGAAAAATGTATGTATTGTTATGTTGGTATGAATCATGTTTACTTGGCGAGACTTGGACTGTATTGGAACCGTACGGATCCAAGCCTAAATAAACACCACCTCCAGAGAACACGTAATTTTTACTTTGATTTCCAAAGAAGTTGTCTTCGATACTGCGACTTAAATTTCTTTGCGTTGCGTTACTGTAGCGCGCAGTATTTTCCGTAAACGCGCTGTTTGTGAAGTTTACTACGCCTCCACAGTCATAACAGTTGACAGCGAGGCCTGATGAAGACAAAATTTCGACGCCGTAGAAGCGTATGTTCTTGCAATATCTGAAATCTAGGGCTGTTTTGAAATTTACTCCATCGAGTCCGCTATAAGGCTTCTTTGCTCTAACTGCGCTCTTTTGCCAACCTCCACAATTCTGCAACATGATTCCTTCGAAAAATATATTTTCGCTCAGAACAAAAGACAAGCTCACATTTGATTTACAAGTGATTTGTACATCTTTTGGAGTCGAACCCTGCCCTACCATACCGAAGTTCTCCACATTTGTAAATCTGTAACTCTTTGTCAGGGTGTAGTTTCCTTCTGCTGCTTTTATCTGTGTTGAGTTTGCTCCACTTTCACGTGCGATTGAGATGGCGAAATCCAGCGATAGACACGGTTGACTCTCCTTTCCGCAAGTTTTAACGTCCATGCCTTCTGGTGAAACAAAGATATTTCTAATCCTGTCCGATGCCATCGAACATCGAACCGTTAAAAGACTCCAGATCAAGAAATACAGGCCAGAACTTAGCGCTTCCATCGTTAAAAGTAGCACGACTAATTCGAACAGCAAAAAGTAAATATTAACAGATTTCCGAGAAATATTGTGTGACATACAATGGAAGTTGCGTGGGTGGCTCCGTCACGCAAACAAATCCTGGCTTGACAAGCTTATATCTTTGGCCGATTAACGTCGTTGTTAATAACAATATTAATTTATTTGCACCACATAGACAGCA